TTGTTGATGAGCAGTCGTCAACTGAAGACCATAATGTTTGAAGCCATAGTCTAATGTCACTGTGATGTACACATCCACATCACACATCCAGAAAGAATTCTGTAAACGACTTGATGTTTTTATGTGACTTGACTTTATAACGAGGAAACGACCATTATGTGTGGAGGTGGGCGGGGCTGCACGGATGTGTTTAAACCGAAGAACGAAGACAGAATATTCATACTGTTTAATCATAACATATATATTCTTCGTTCTTCAGTTAAAAGAAACTCCCCACCCTAATCTTTAAAACGAAGAACAAATAACACACATTAATATTCAAATAAATACATTTACATGCAATCATCGTTCATACTTTTTAATCATAACATATATATTCTTTGTTCTTCAGTTTAAAGAAACCCCCACCCTAATCTTTAAAACGAAGAACAAATAACACACATTAATATTCAAATAAATACATTTACATGCAATCATCGTTCATACTTTTTAATCATAACATATATATTCTTCGTTCTTCGGTTTAAAGAAACCCCCACCCTAATCTTTAAAACGAAGAACATAGAACACATTAATATTCAAATAAATACATTTACATGCAGTTATCGTTCATACTTTTTAATCATAACATATATATTCTTTGTTCTTCGGTTTAAAGAAACCCCCACCCTAATCTTTAAAACGAAGAACAAATAACACACATTCAAATTCAAATAAATACATTTACATGCAGTTATCGTTCATACTGTTTAATCATAACATATATATTCTTCATTTTTCAGTTTAAAGAAAACCCCACTCCAACCATTTCACAGTTACTGTACATGTGTATATTGTCAACACAATGAACATCAAAATTGTAAATTGTGTTCGTACCTATAAGTGCCTTCTTTAACAATTTCCATTCTTGGATCACTATTCAGTATCGGCTTATTATCTGAGATTAAGAAATGTATTTACTTTTGTTAGATTTATTTAAAGTTATTAATACATTGGCAACATTTTAACTAAATTTTGATGTCAAGCCAATTACGGGCCTTCACATTTCTAATGAGTAATCTGCAAGTGTTAGAGCCGAAAAATCAAATTGCAAGCTGGTTTGAAAAGCAAAATCATACATGTAAAATGACTTGGATTATTGTAGCTCTCAAAAACAAATGGTAGTTCAGCTAAATTTTGTAAAGTAACACATCAAATAGTTGAACACAAATCAATTGTATGAATATGTCATTCTGATTGGTCGAGAGATTGTTTTCACAATTTATGCCATCTGTAGTAAATTACACTGTATACCATGGTTTTTCATGTTTAGATGTAGGCCCCGAATGTGAATAACTCACATTAGGAATAACCCTGGCTGTCAATTGAAATCAGC